TTGTTTGCCGGCAAATATCAGACGCTGCTGGTCAGGGGGGATGCCCTCCTTGTCTTGGATTTTGGCTTTGACATTCTCGATGGTGTCACTGGGCTCAACCTCGAGGGTGATGGTCTTGCCTGTCAGGGTCTTCACAAAGATCTGCATGTCTGCGTCTGCCGCTCGGCCGCCTCGTTGAAGAGAAAGAGCTATTTATTTTATTTAGTTATTTAGTTATTTATTTTTATTTTTTTGGTGGATCCAGGGATTGAACTCAGGCCCTTGTACTTGCCAGGGAAGAGTCCAAGCTTTGTAGTGAGGGACACTTGTACCAAATAAGTAACGGGGGCTGGGAATTTGGCTCAGTGGTAGAACACTTGTCTAGCAAGCTGGAAGCCCTGGGTTCAGTTCTCGGCACCAAAAACAAACAAGAAAATCTCCCCAAATAAGTAACGGGCTGAGGATACAGCTCAGTGGTTTAAGTGCCTGCCTGGCAAACACAAGGTCCCAAGTGCAGTAACCAGTACTGACAAATAAATACACCCTACCATTTGGGGCTGGAACTCCCCAGGCCATCAGCCCAGGCTGGAATTCCACTTCTGTGGAAGACTGAGGCAGGAGGAGGATTGCTAGTTCAAGACCGGACTGGGCAACACAGCCAGACCCTGTCTCAAAAAGAGAAGAATTAAGGTCCTAGATTCAATTCTAAGAATTGGCAGAAAAAGAAAACAAAATCAGCCGGGTGTGGTTGTGCATGCCTGTAATCACAGCACTTGGGAGGCTGAGGCAGGAGGATCATCACCAGATCTCAGGCAGCCTGGGCTACATAATGAGACTGTCTCGACCAACCAAACAAAAAACGCAAACCTTGATTCCATGAATGAACAATTACATTCCACGGAACAGCTGCCCGGCAGATGTGGCCTGCCATTCGGCACCATTCATGGATTCTCTATCCAGAGTTTCCTGTTACCGGGTCAGGCTCTAGAGCCCACGCAGCTGTTCTTGGGTTTGTTCAAAGTGCCCTAGTCCTATCAGGACAGAGCCCTGGACTTTCGCCCCAGTGGAGGTGGCACTTGAAGCCCTGGCCTGATGCACACATGCAGGGGGCAGCTGGGCCTAAGGATGACACAGGGCATTGGCCCAGCCAGAGGTTGTGAAGCATGCCTGGAGGAGGGGAGATTTTTTTTTTTTTTCTTCTCGTTACTGGGGATTGAACTCAGGACTTTGCGCTTACCAGACAAGTGATTATTCTACTGAGCTGTCTCCCCAGCCCAGGAGGGGGAAACTGAACTTTAGCTTTCACTAACTCCACATTAGCCAAAGAGAAATAGGCTGTATAAGAGCACTACAGAGTTTGGGCTGGTTTAGTCTTTCAGACGGGGTTTCAGTAAATAGTCCAGGCTGGTTTTAAATTCACTGTGTAGCCTCAGCTGGTCTTGAACTTGTGGAGATCCTCCTGCCTCAGCCTCCTGAATGCTGGCATTATAGATAAGCCCCAAGGCCTGCCAAGAGCAATAGTGTTTTCATGAATGTTTGTTATACAAACGTCAACTAATGACTTGGTGTAAGAATGGATGAATAGAATTGCTTTTGGAAATAGTCTAGCTGCTCCTCAACAAGCTGGGCACCACAGCGCACACCTGTCAGCTCAGCACTCTGGAAGATAAGGCAGGAAGATCAGAATTAGAGACCAGCTTGGACTACATAGTCCAGCACTTGGAAGGCTGAGGCAGGAGGGTCGCCACAAATTCAGTGCTAGCTGGGGCTACTGAGGCCAGCCTAGACTACATAACGAGATTCTGTGTCCTAAGGTTGGAGTATCACAAGTCAAAGCGGTCTGGATAATTTAGCAACTTAACAAGACCCTGTGGCAAAATAAAATGGCATGATGACAAAGTTCAGTACAAAGACCCTAGGATCAATCCCAGTACCAGAAAGAAAGAAAACAAGGGCGGACACATGGTACAAGAGGA